AGTTGATGCCTTTATATTGTGGTGTTGGTGAAGAATAGTGAAAATACCATGGACTGCAAGAAGAATGAAGAAATCAGTCCTGGAAGAAGTGCAGCCAGAATGCTCTTTGGAAGTAAGAATGGCCAGATTTTATCTCCCCTACTTTGGTCATGTTGTCAGAAAGGACCATTCCCTGGAGAAGGATGTCATGCTTGGTTGCTAGCGTAGTGCCTAAGGCACTTGACTGCTAACCAGAAGCCTGGCAGTTCAAACCCACCAGCCACTCCTCGGGAAGAAGGTTGGGCAATCTACTTCCATAGTGATACTGCCTCAGAAACCCAAGGAGAGGTTGCTATGAGTTGGGTCTGACTCAATGGCACATAACAACAACAAAGTAGAGGATCAGCGAAAAAGGGGAAGGTTCTCAACAAGATGGATTGACACAGTGGCTGCAACAATGGGCTCAAGTATAGCAAGGATTGTGAGGGTGGCACAGGACCAGGAAGTGTTTTGTTCTGTTGTACACAGGGTTGCTATGAGTTGGAGTCAACTCGACAGCACCTAACAATAACAGAAGTCCACTTTAAGTTCATTTTCTTTTCTATTGCAGGAAAAGGTGTGAGGCTTCTGTCCCTCAACTAGACCTCCACCATGGGGCCTCCCAACAGGGGTCCCTTCGAGAAGAATGTCATTCATCTTCACAATTTCCACCCCCAGGTGCTACATCCCCTGCCTCCTTTTCACCCTGTGCCACCCCTTACCATGTCATTTACCAGATCCCTCTCTGGCAGGCACTTTGATGATAGGCCAGAAGCTTGGACCAGTGCTGGGTCAAGACTCTGTCACTAGGAGTGGGTCCAGGGGGCCGATATGAGGAAATACCCCATGAGCTGGAGTCTCCCCAGCTTTATCACTCAGGACCAGCTTTGTCACTCAAGATGGATGAAAGGGTTAAAAGTGGAGATGCTAAGGTGCTTCGACCATGGTATTTTCAATCACCTCATATGCACGTGAAAGCTGGACAATGGATAAGGAAGACTGAACAAGAATCGATGCCACTGAATTATGATGTTGGCAAAGAATATTGAATATACCACAGACTGCCAGAAGAACAAACAAATCTGTCTTAGAAGAAGCACAGCCAGAATGCTCCTTAGAAGTGAGGATGGCGAGACTTCATCTCAAATACTTTGGAGGGACCAATCTCTGGAGAAGGACATCATACTTGGTGAAGCAGAGGGTCAGTGATGAAGAGGGAGATCCTCAACAAGATAAATTGACACAGTGACTACAACAATGACCTCAAACATGGCAACAATTGTGAGGATGGGGCAGGACTGGGCAGTGTTTTGGTCTGTTGTGCATGGGGTCACTAGGCGTCGGAATAGTGAAAGGGCTTTCCAGGTTTGGTACTGGGATTTTATCTTCTCAAGTGGAGAGTCTGCAATTGAGGTTATTTTCCACAGAGACCAGCTCTGCTTGAGTCTGCCAACCCTGGAGCAGACACTAATGAGGACTGGCTTGGCTTCGAGGAACAGGTGCCCAATGAGGTTAACAAGGTGGGGACCAAGAGAGAGGGCCTAATAGCTGCAGTGGCATTTCAAAGCTGGAGCTCAGCAGAGTCCGTGGCTAGAAGGCTGAGTAATGAGGGGCCAGAGGGTCAGAGTGGGACCAAGGAGGAGTTTCAAGTGGGGGGGGATCAGTCCTGCCTCCCCAGAACTGGAGAGAGAGCAGGCCCCACTCTGCCTTCTGAACAAGGTTAGCATCTTAGGGGTGTCTGGGCATCCCCAACATCCCAGCAGGGAACACAGGCTTTTGGCACCTCCAGGGAGTTGAGCCGTGATGGGGGTGGGGACTGGCACTGGGCTTTGTGAGGCCAATTTCTGCCTTCCTGGGTTGATGAGCACACAGTCTCTTCTGGAGAGCACAGCTCTCCAAGTGGCGTCTTGAGACCAAGCCATTTGCAACTCCTTGTTGTACCAGAACCCCTGGATGATGCTAATGAACATGGCCATCACAGGTCTTGGTGCACAGAAAGACTTTCCAAGACACTTGTAAGTTCTGTCTCTTGAGAAAACACAAAATCATGATCCTCAAACCCTCCCGTATACAAAAAAAAAAAAAAAAAAAAAAACACCCTCCCGTGTAACAAAAGAAAAGCGTGGCTGGAACCTAGCCGGATCTGGTGCACTGCCCAGTGCTTAAATCCTCCTGGCTGACCATGGCACAGTCTAATACTCCAGAACTGATGACAAGGAAGGAAATAAGCTAATGATGGAGGTAGCAAGCTTTTTGAAAGTCTAATGGTTTTCAAAATTCTTTTTTTTCAACCAAATTTAAAGAGGACTTAATTGAACGATTGGAGCCCTGGTAGCAGAGTGTAAAAACACTCAGCTACCCCAAAAAAGGTCAGTGGTTCGAACCCACCATGGTAGGCAGGAGAAAGGTGTGGCAGTCTGCTTCCATAAAGATTGGAGCCTTGGAAATCTAACAGGGGCAGCACTACCCTGTCCTACAGGCTTGCTATGAGTTAGCACTGACTTGATGGCAGTGGGTTTGGTTTGGTTTTTAATTGAGTAACTAGTAGATAAATCACTCGACGACACATCACTGTGCACTTTTTGGCATACATCTCAGAAGTTCAGAGAATTGAGTAATGTCACTATAAGACCAAAAAACAAACAAAAAATGGACTCAACTTGCTGTTGAGTCAGTTCTAACTCATGGCAACCCCATGTGTTACGGAGTAGAACTGCTCTACAGGGTTTTCTTGGCTGTAATCCTTATGGAAGCAGATTGCCAGGCCTTTCTTCTACAGCACTAGTGGGTAGGCTTGAACTGCCAACCTTTAGGTTAAGTAGTTGAGCACAAACTGTTTGCACCACCCAGTGACCTATCAACATTGTTATAATATCTACTTATTAATATGAAAGGGCTCTTCAGCATCTATAGCTATAAAAGATGAAAAAAAGATGAGCCCAGATTCATTCTGATATTCATCTATATATTCATGAACAACTAAATTCCTATCCATTTCATTAAGATGTGCTTTCAATAATTTTATGTCTAACAAAAATCATAAAAGATTTTAGTATCTATATTGCTTTAATCTATTGCTACTTATATTTTATATCAAAAAGTAAGTATAACAATAACTCAATCCAGAAGACGTTAAAAAAAATTCTTGGAAACTTTGGTCACAGAAATGAGATGTTTCAATTTCAAAATATACTTTGTGTCAGAGAAGTGTGATAAGGTGAGGCAAAAAAAAAAAAAGACTTTCAACCATGAAAACATTGCATGAATATAAACTCCTACAGAGGAAATGGAATACAAATTCACGTTCAAAGAGAAAGGGAATAGTGTAATATCTTCCAACTGTTAGGAAGAGCTTATTCATGTATTTATTTTTTAAATGGATGAGGGTGAGTATTAAATCACTACAGTGTTTATATTCCATGTGATATATTTTAAAGTGTTGTGGGAGTTTTATTTTAAAATATAAATATTTGCCAAATGCCAGAAATTATATCCTTTGCAAGTTTTAAAACTTACATTAAAAAATAAATTAGATGTCAAGTTAAAAATGTAGAAGATGAGATACACGATTTTTCAAAAATTATTTTAGGGGGACTAGAGCAAAAGCCTTTTGCAAACCCTGGCTGAAGGCTCCCTCCCCCCCCCCCCCCCAACTCCAGCCTGCTCTCTAGGATGGAAGGCAAACTCGGAACCTCATCTCCTGTTGTTGCTCATGGACACGGAGAGGTCTTCTGTACTTTCCCTCCAGATTGTAGAAGCCCAGCCTTGCTTGGTGCAGCCCCTGGGCGTATGGGGTGGGCTGCTGCACACTTCCTCCATGGGCTAAATTAAACTGCCCTTGGTTGATATTAGCTGGAGGGAATGATGACCGACAGCAGCTGCAGGTTCTTTAGCCGTAAAGACTCTAAACCTCCCACAGATGAGAAAAGGAGAATTGGCCCCAGGCCAGTGCCAAGGTTTACAGAACTGAGGGGTCCACAAACGCCTTGACAGGTTGTACCAAACTCCAAGGAAGAAGGGACATGGATGCCTCCCTGTCCTCAGATGTGAAACAAAGCCCAGCCCAGCATCCTTGCCCACACCAGCCTCAGGAGCTGAGTTGACCTGAGAGGAGGCCACTTCCATGAAGGCATGGTTTATTTCATACATGTGATGTCTCTGAAAGGGGGATGGAAGTCCAGTCTGAGGTGGGTGGCATTTGTTCCAATCACCAAAGACACACTTTGGTTTCTGCAATTCCAACTCCACTTCCCCTTCCCTCATCCTTCCGTTCTACATTTTGTCCTTCACTGAATCTCTTACTGCCCTGAGTTCTATCTTGGTCATGTCTTTCTCCTCACCTTCTTTTCCCCAAACCCCTGAAAAGAAGTCTCCTGAGGGAGGAATCTAGCCCCGAAGCCAGCATGCTTCCAGGAGTCCTCAGGTGCAGGACGATGGCTGGGAGGGTGTGGGGGACAGCAGGATGGCTCAGTCAGGGGTGAGGGACAGGGAGTCCCTGGGTTGAAGCCAGTCAATTAAATCCTTTACTCAAACTGGTGTGCCTTCTCAACTGCAGAAGGTGCCCCTGAGCAGGGAGGCAGAAGGCAGGGAGCAGGGCCAACTGTCACCGAATGCCATGAGAGAGCAGAAAGCCCTGTACTGGCACTAACTAGCGGTGTAACATGGGCAGCCCTTTCCCCTCTACAGGCCTCAGTTTCCCCTCTTGTGAATGGGGCTACAGTGATGATCCAGGAGACAAACGCCTGTAGACCCCTGACCTGCTCCTCTGAGGGCACGCCTGTGACTTGCCCTCTCCACTCCGTCTCACACGGAGGCTTCTGGCCCAGCCGGCGCTGACTGCTCCAGCTTGTTCTGCTGCCGCACCATCTCTCTTCTGCCAGGCTGAGCATGGTCTTTTCCCCTGCCTTATCCCTGATCCCATCACCAGGGCCTACACAGCAAAGAGAACCCAGAGACAGGCAGGGAGGGTGAAGAAACTGCCCAGATGGTGGAGGAATGACAGGGCATGGGCACACAAGGGGTCACACTGCGGCTGTCTGCTTGATGCTGTGGAAGCTGATCCGTGTGGGCGATGTGGGGATGGACATGGCCCGGGCCACAGGGACTCGCAGGGAGTGATGGTCCTGCCAGCGGTGCCACTTCTTCCTCACGGCTGAGCACACCTGTGGGGGAAGCAGAGGCTCAGATGTGCCCTCAGGGCCAGTTCTAGAGGTAGGAATGGTCTCCCCCCTGCTCCCTGCCATCAGGGACCCTCACTACTGCACCCTCACATGAAGGGACCAGTTGGTTCCAAAACTGTGGTATTCCCCTTGAAACTCGAGTTCCTTCTCTAGGGCTCTTCTTCCCTGTCCCTCTCCTGGAGAAGCCTGACTGGTACATTTTCTTTGTGTCTCACTGTCCAGTTATCTAGTAGTTTCCTTTGGACACCTTGCTTTCCCTCCCTCACTCACTCTGTCACTTTGCAGCTACCACACAGATACTCAAGAACCCAGCTTTGTGACTCAGTCTCCTGCTCCTCTCGCAGCCTTTGGCAATATACATTCCAGCTCCCACCTCTCAGCTTGAATCCTTCTCCCTTCTAAAATACCTTCCTCTCCCACCTCTGCAGCCTCACCTCCTCCATGAAGCCTTCCCTGATAGACCCCTTCATACTTCCCATAGCATTTACTGCCCAAAAGGGAAAGTTAACACTCATTTCAAAGCCTGAGCATTATTTGGTACCATTTTGTTTTCATCTGTATTGCAACTGAAGAATTTTTCTGTAAAATGGATTGTGTCCCCACACCCCATCCTAACACATGGTGTGAACAGAGTAAATGGTCCACACGCACTGATTTTCCACCTGCTTTAATGGCTCCCGTGCTCATACTCTGTGGCCTGTGGACCTTTCTCTGCTGCTGGACTTTTGCTCTGAGTTGGCTTCAATGGGCAGAGCCAGAACTGCACAGACACTTTCCCTCTCTCTGTGGACATACAAGTGGAATGGCCCCAGGAGGACATTTGCATTCCTCTCAACCCTGAGGGCTGTGTATGATTGCAGGGAGGGACTCTGCTGCTTGTCCCAGAACCCAGGACCTGTCCTTACCTACCACTGGCACGACGTGCCTCTCTCAGCTGCACCAAGATTCTGGATCTTGTCAGCCGAGTGGGCTTTATCCAGTGCCTCACGCCCCAGAGGCTGGCCAGGGATCTGTGTACTTTTCTGAGGTGGGGAGGAGAACGTGTGGTTCTTCTTCTGCTCCCCAAGTCCACACAGGCTCGGCTGCATGGCTCACACCTGGTCCTCTCCCGGAAGCTTTCTCTTCCCACTTCCTTATTTTGGCCCCTGTTCACCCAGCTCTCCCAGTATTTCCAGCCTGCATAGCTGACCTTCTATACTAGCTGAGTCCCTGAGAAGGAACCCTGCTCCCCCAAGTCTAGGATATTTTCTCTGGCCTTCCCCTCCCTCCGGGAGGGCAGGACTGGGCATATCTAGGGACCACAGCACCGCTGAACAGCATGGTGGGGATTGTAGCTGCCCTGGAGTGGGATCTGGGGTCTTTGAGAACCTGGTCTTCCTGGGGCCCTGGCTTCATACCTCTCCATTGAAGAAGCAATAGAAGACAGACACAAAGAAACCCTAGAAAGGAAAGGGAAGTTGTCAGTGACTTGCTTGCGAGGGACCATCCTGTCTAGAGGGATGGGAAACAAGATGGCCAGAGGAAACACTGAGTGACCAGGATTCCAGGGGTCTGCACTCACACGGCCCCAACCCAAGATACAGGTACACCATGGTGACATTGCTGGTTCTGGTAGCATAGTGCCTAAGGCACTTGACTGCTAACCAGAAGGCTGGCGGTTCAAACCCACCAGCCACTCCTCGGAAGGAAGGTTGGGCAATCCTACTTCCGTAGTGATACTGCCTCGGAAACCCAAGGAGGGGTTGCTATGAGTTGGCGCCGACTAGACGGCATATAACAACAACAACAACAACATGGTGACATTGCAGTTAAGAGGGTCTCAGTCCTCAATATTGTGTGGCCTCTCCAGGACTGCCATAAATCCTCAGAAGAGGAGCTGGACAGTAGTAGGTACAAGCTAGTGTGACCTAGACCCATCAGGGATGAGCTTGCCTAGGGAAATGCACAGCTGGGCCCTGGGGTGGGGGCAGCAGGGTCAGAGCTCAGTTCAGGGTGGCTCAGGCACCATCTGGGGCTGGCTGCAGGCTCAGGCTGGGCGTGCCCATTTATATTTAAGTATGTATGTGACTGAACCCCATGTGCACCAGCCCCATGGGACCATCTTTATGAGGGCAGGAGAGCTAACTTCAACCTCTACCCCACACCCCCACTAATCATGCACCCACCTGGAAGGACTGCAAGAAGGAGTTGAAATAGATGAACACGATCTGTGACAGGTCGTCCTCCCCAGGATTGACAAAGAAGAGCATGTAGGTGATGCCCAGAAGGGGCAGGAGAACCAGGGTGGCCTTCACCGCCTTCCTGGGGGTGGCAGGTGATGGTTCAGGTCTGAGCTCACACTGCAGATGAGGCTCATTCAGGTGGGAAGTTGGGAGATGCTTTGGCAGGGCCTTCTGGGAGAGTGAGCGAGCTCCCACCTGGAGGCAGGGGAACAGCCCAAATGGCCTCATTTCCTCCCTGCCCCAGGTCAAGGCACCTCCTCACTCACCTGTACTGGATCGTCTCAGATGTGGTGGATGCTCGTAATTTTGTCATTAAGATTCTGACAATGTTGAACAGAAATACAAAATTGATCTGGAGGTGGGGAGGCAGAGAGAGAAAAAGGATCATCAGCTGACGTGGGGCTGAGCTGATAGGCAGCCCCCTCTCCCTGGAACCCACTGAAAACTCACGTCCCATGCACACCCCTCCCACGTGTCACCCAGCACTGGCCTGGAGGCCTAAGGCTTTGGCTCCTCCCTCACCAGGACAGGTAGACATCAATTTGCTCAATTCTCTGTTACCTGAGGGCTCCAGACCTGAGGGAGGAGGCAGCCTCTAAAGATAGTGAACAATAACACAAAGATCCTCTTCCTCAGCAAGTTCCCAAGCCCCTCACCCACTCAGAGACCATACAGGTGGCAGGCCTTGGGCTCTGCCTGAACCCTTGCCCCTATGCCTCGGAGGTTCCCATTTGTTGACTGAGGGTTGCTCTGGGGCCTCTGGCCCTGAGGGGCAGACTGGGCCATGGGGAATGGTTAATAACTCAGTTGCTGAGCAAGTGATTCATCTCTCACCATCCCTTCCCCTGTACCCAGGAAAACTCGAGCCTACGCAGACGCCCCAGAGGCAATGATGATGAATGGGCTGCTGGGCTGACTCCGAGGCTCCAGGATGAGCCTCATTTATCTTCATTCTGAGCTATCCCTCAGCATCAGAAGGCACCCCACCCACCTCTCTCCCAGAACCTGTCCACGTGCCCGAGTCAGCATCCCAGGGTGTGGGGGTCTCTGTGGGCCTGCAAGCCTGTCTATGCGCTGTGATTTCATGCACACATGAGTTGAGTCTATGGAACTCTTCTGTGTGCTATGTGAGTGTGCTTGGTCCCCATGAATGTGCTTGTGTGTGCATGCATCAGTGGAGGTGTGTATGCTTGTACTTCTCTCTTTCTCCAAGTGTGAGCAGGAAGGAATAGAAGGGTGTGCAGGCCTCACTCACTAAACAAATGTCCATGGGTCAGTGGAGGATACACATTAGCCCAGGGTGTCTGCTGGATCATTCATGTGCACACGTGCATACGGAAACACACACACACACAAACACACACACACCCTTTCCGAGTGTCAGTTTAGAGAATCCATCACTTCTTATGCTTGGGCTGAGCCTTCCCAAGTCCTCAGTTACAATGTGGGAGTCAGGGGACACAGACAGGCACTGTGGGACAGTCATCCCCATGGCCTCTGGATGACCACCTGAGTTGAGCATGGCTCTGGGGACAGGGGAAGGCCCAACCTCCTTCTCAGTCACAGCCTGCCACTCTCAAGCCACACGGTGTGTGGTCTGGTGAGTCAGAGAAAGAGATGGGGGTGGGAAGCTTCAGAGGGCCACCCCTGGCCTATTGCCCCTTTCTCTGAAGGCTCATTAATTTCTCACTCCTGGGTTTCTTGTATGCTCTCTTGGATCACAGGGTCAATCCTAATCTTTTCATACAAATGATACCGAGTACTAAACCTTTTATGATTCTCTCTGACTTCTCTGGGAGTAGAGAATGTTGGAATCAAAATATATTCTCATTTCTGCTACATTTCCCTGCATGAAATCTTATTCACCCATCATTTATCCATCCAGTGACTAGTTCATTCAATTATCTACCCACTTTCATCCGTCCATCCACCCCTTGATTTATCTACCCACCCTCCCACCCACTCATTCGTTTATTTAACATTTAACATCCACCTATCCACCCACCCATCTACCCAGTCAACAAGCAGTTACAAAGCACCTCCTGGATACAAGGCCCTGTTCTGTGTGCGGAGGCAAAAGATAGGGACAGATTTACAGAGGACACGGACAGGGTCTAAAGTAGAGGATCTGGAAGACAAGGCCTTACTCCCTGTCCTTACATATTCAATGATGCTGTCTCCATTCGTCTCAGCCAGGGTCTGTGCAGCCTGAGCCGGGGCCCTGACATTCTGTCCTTTTGAGCTTGGTCCCCAGCACCCCACTTTACAACAACTGTACCAGTCTCACCTCAGGCACCTCCCTCCCTGCTCTAGGGAGCACTGACTACCCAGCCCAGCCTGAGATCTCCAGCTCTACTTTCTTGGATTTTGCCCTTTCAGACCCACCTCCTACCCCACCCTCCATGAAAAACAGCTTTGGCTATTCCACCTAATCTTGTCCAGTCTGGTTTCTGGTTGTATTCATGAATGAATAAATGAAATCATTTACTACGTGCTGGGCTCTGAGTTGGGCTAGAGAAAGAGAAATGGACATGATTAGTCCCTGCTCTCAAAAGGGCTTACAGCTTGGGGTGGGGTGGGCAAAAAACACAATGCAACGCACTGCCGTGGAGTCAGATCCAACTCCCAGCGACCCCTCTTTGGGTTTCTGAGGTGGTATTACTATGGAAGTAGATTACCCAACCTTCCTCCTGAGGAGTGGCTGTTGGGTTTGAACCTCCAACCTTCAGGTTAGTAGTTAAATGCCTTAGGCACTATACCACCAGAGCACCCGAGGTGGGATGGGAGACACTGTATTTTTCCTGAGGGGTCTGAAAGGCCTCGAGAAATGACATTTGAGCTGAGACATGAAGTATGGGGGATGGTGAAGTGTGGGCAGAACATTCTAGGCAGAGAAAAGCCAAGGGAGGAAGCCCTGAGGTGGGGAGGGGACTGGCCTAATGGCTGCCCATGTGGTGGAGGGTGATGATCAAGAGACAGTTCAGAGAGGGAGTTGGACAAACTGGGAGTCACAAGAGTAAAACCACCTTTTAGAACAAGATCTTTGCAGGGTCCTTCTAGCTGGGAATATTCTTAGAGCAGCCTGTAGGTGGTGAGCTATGGTAACCCAGCAGGGAAGTGGGTGTGGGGGTGTAGCACTGAGGCCAGATCCATTGACCTGCTGACCTTTTACTTCCTCAGAGGAACTGGCTTCACCCCTAATGAGGCTTTCCTGCAGGCGTGGGAGCTGAAGCCTGGCAGAGCCCATTGGTTTGATTTTCTGACTCAGGCCTAAGACACTACAATCCCTTCCACCTGCACTAGGACAGGCACATGGAAGGCCCTCCAAATACTAAGAGTGCTAGCTAATGGGAATCGGGTACTCATGTCGTTTCAGGTCTTGTTCCCACTGTTTTGCAACTACTCTTCAAATTACAATCTTTGAAGCAGATACAATTATTATCCTTATTTCAAAGATACACAAACTGAGGTTCAAACAGGCTAAAGAGCCTGTCCATAGCCATAGACTTAGTAGGGGTTGGTGTCAGGACTTGAACCGAGATATCTGGCTTCAGTAACCATTCTCCTAACCCTTACATTGCACTGATATTCTCGCAGGAGTTACTGGAATGTGAACCAAAAGGAAGGAACCAAAGGCAAATAATTTCACACATCCAGGACCCAAGGATCTGAGCTCAGAAGAAAAGCACTGGGGGAATCATCAGACAGGATCCTGAGCCTGTGACTCCACAGCTGATGGCAATTGCTGGAATCTCACACCCATGGGTACCCAGCACAGTGCCCATAGCCCACCTCCAATTGCTGTTGAGTTGATTCCTACTCACGGTGACTCCATGTGTGTCAGAGTAGAGATGTGCTACACAGTGTGTTTGATGGCTGATGTTTTAGAAGCTGGTCACCAGGCCTTTCTTCCTAAGTGCCTCCAGGTGGATTCAAACCTTCAACCTTCTGATTAGTGACCAAGTGCATTAACTGTTTGCACCACCCAGGGATTCCTCGTGCTTACTGTAACCCTGTGAAGCAGGGATTGGCATCCCCATGCTACAGGTAGGAAACTGAGGCTTCAAAAGGGCAAAGAGCTCACTCAAGATCACATCAAAGAGCCCAGGGAGCTCCAATCATCACTCAGTCCATGACACCACACTGCATGTGCCCCCTATAGGGGAAATCAGCAGACTCTTGCTCACTGGTTAATCTCCAGTGTGCATGGCACCTCGTACCTCCCTCCACCCCTGCCAAAGTGTTTGCTAAATCTCAGTGCTCAAGGGATCCCCTCCTTGCTCCTAAATCTTCACTGTCTACACATTTGCAGAAGAGGAGGGAGAGAGGAAGAAAGGATCAGGTGTCTTGGTTCATCTCTCGCCTCTTGGCTTCAGGAACAGCTCTTCTTCCTTTAAACCCAGGTTGAGAGTAGAGATTTGAGCCCTTGGGGATGTCTTCTGCTCTCCTGTTCTGGGTGTTGAGGCAATCTGAGTATTTGAGTGAGTTGCTGCAAAAGGTCCCAAGTTCTTCTTCTCACCCATCCCTGGCTCTCTGCTGTCTCTACTCCACATTAACCAGGCCTAGTAACATGTCCTGTCCATCCCATATGGGTCTGTGAAACCCACTGACCAATGTGTTTCACAGACCCCGGGAGACCAGTCCTCTATGGACAGCTGCAGTTTTCCCTTCCTGTTGGCATTTTCTTGACCAAGTCTCATTCATGGCCCAGGTCCTGAGCCCTGCTGTGTGCAGGGCCCTGATGACACACATGACCCCTGGACTTACGGTTCTCCAACTAGAATGTGCACTTCAAATGCACTTGGGTGCTTGTTACAAATATAGATCCCAGGCTCATCCAGATTCCTAGTGGGAAAAACAGGGTCCCAGCATCTGCATTTGGGAAAAGAGCAGCTTGAATGTTTCCAGGAGGATCTCTGAGCTAGGAGAGGCTATTCATGGACTGAAGAGTAGAGGTTTTAGCCAGACAGACCTGATATGCTACACACTGTTGATGCCCTGTCCGCACTCCCTGGGCCCACCTGCATTCACCAGTAGCTGTAGAGGACAACTTGAAGATTTTCTCTGGTACTAGGGGAGCTTGCTCAGCCCCCAAACAAGGTTGTTTGGAAATGTGGGCAGGGGGAGTTACTATCCTGGGGACCTTCACCACTGGTGAGGATGGAGGGGGTGGGTTAATAACAACAAACCTACTCACTGCCCCACTCTGCACTGACTCTATTCCCCACCCTCATGGTGTCTGCTGGATCACCTCCCAAATGAGCACCCCACACCAGGCTTTGTCTCAGGGTTCTAATTCTGACTGTTCCAATTTGCATTTGCATGCCCTAAAGCAAGCTGCATAACCCCTTAGCTTCGGCATCCTCTTCTGTACAATGGGGATGACCACAGAGCCTGCCTGTCACCAAGAAAGATGAGCATAGGCTGAAATACTCACGCAGAGCACCAAGTCCAGTACTGGATCAGAGAGGGGACCAACAAATGCCACCTTCCTTTCCCATGACAATAACAGTGATTACAACTGAGAGATGTCCAGCTTCCTGAAAACTCAACCACCAACTCACTCCCCAGAACCCAGAAATAAGAGTGTCTCTTAGCAGCAGAAATGTAGCTGTGAATCGTTGGAGAAGACAAAAATGGCAGGACCCTAAGCACATATCCAAGAGAGGACAGCAGGCAAGTGGGGATGATGAGGCAGGAGAGCTGCTCCTGAGTCTCACCTTGGCTTGCACTTGGTTGGTGACCTTGGACAAACAATTTCATATCTCAATTTCTTCATCTGTAAAATGGGGAACATAATCCCTACTTCTCTTGGGCATTGAGGATGTGAAGACTGGAAGTAAAGTAGACTGAGCTTCTGGAAGAGTTTAGTCTGGGGCCTGATCTGTCAGTGCAAATAGCTGAGTATAGGTGGGGCCAAAAGGGAAGGACAAGCAAAGGGCTTGTGATGAAAAAAGAGTGGGGAGGCCAGAGAAGAGGGCATGGAAAGGGGAGGTGAGGGAATTGGGTCTTGAAACTGAGTCCTTCCACACCTCATCCCCCTTTCTTGTTCTTCTTCTTCACCACCTATGTCCAACATCCATACACCTGGGGCTCAGGTGCCACTGGTTCCCAATCCAGGCCAGCCTTCCTTGGCTGTATCCTAGGCATATCAAAATCCCTGTCCCTCCAGGTTGGGCTCTCAGCAACAGCATGGAAGGGAAGACATCTCAAGGAGTTTCCATTCACACTGAGGGGTGAGTGACTCACTGCAGCTGGGAGCCCAGCGACCATCCCTGTGTCCACTAATTGCTGGCAAGGCTTGGATTCTGTCTCTAAATGAACAAAGTCCTGATGGCGGAATTTTTACCCCAAAACACCTTCTTGCTTCTCTCCAGTTCACATGTATCAAGGACACCCCGATGATGGGAAAATCACAAAAAGAGGAAAGTAAGGATATGAAAGAGATGAACTGTAATTGTCTCCAAGGTAAACAAAAGAACACCCCTTGTTAGGCACCTGATGTGTACAGGAAGAGGACAGCTTACTCTTGAGTCCTGCACAAGGAGACAATACCCCTTTAAGGAAGCCTATATATACAGAAGCCTAAAATTACTGAGCCTGAAATAATTCTTACGCAAATGCCAATTTCTTAGGGGGCTGTTTTGTACTTTTTTTTTTCCAAGTGTATAATATATAATGGGTTCGTTTTTCAGCAGAATGCAGCCTCTACTTAAACTGTACCTAATTAAAGCTCTGTTATAGATTAAAGACGTGGAGCAATTATACCTTGGATGCGAATACATTTGGCAAAGGGTGGGTAGTTGGACAGGGAACAATTGCCTCATTATGCTTCATTCTGGTATCTGCTGCTCTAGGCTGGGGGCGGTGGGCTGGGCCCTGAGAAGGGTCACTAGGGGCCGAGGATGTTGGGCCAGGCTAAAAGAATGCCACACACCCTTCTCTTGTCACCAGCTGTCCCCTTGCCTGGCATTCTCAGCATTATACCTAGCAAGAGGATGTTTGATCTCGGAGGACACTAGTTAGACCCCCTCTAGGCCTAGAGGAAAGACCTGAGGTCCACCAGGAGGAGGAGACTACACCTGGGCATAGAGAATGGGGAAGGGAGTGTCAGAAGCAGAGCAGGAAGTGGGGTGATGTGTATGGTATATGGGAGCAGCGTACCCAAGTGTATGCTAAGGGCCACTCCATAAAGTCCAGTGGCATGTACAGTGTATGAGGGTAGTGTAGTGAGTATGTGCCGAGGGCTGTGCCAGGAAGCAGAGTGGAGTGTACAGCATACCTGAGTGTGTGCTGAGGGCTGCCCCAAACTACATTGTCCTGCGAAGTGTCTGCCTGGGTAGTCTCTCTGCTGTTCTCCCAACCCTGCCCCAGCCCCGCTCCAGCAACCCCATGTGGACCTACCAGGAGCACAAGGATGATGGGGCCTTGGTAGATGTAGTCCACCAGGTCACCGGGCTCCTTGCCAAACCAGCATCTGCAAAGACAGGGTGGCTGTGGGTGGCCCTGCTGAGTGGAGCCTGGGTCTAGGGACTTCTGATTTGACCCTTCCTGAGACCCAATCTCCAGGTCTGCCCCTTTCCTAACTGCCTTCAGGGACAGCCTCAGCCCCGTGGAACAAACACCCTGGCTCCCACTCAGCTGTCTTTTGCCCTACCTGGTAGGCCTGGTTCTCCCTGCCAGCCTGGAGCTCCCTGAGGATAGCCTCTGGGTCACTTCCTTCTATTCAGCCTCTATGCCATGCAGGACTGCTGGGTGTGGGGCTGGGAATGCAGGAGGCATGTGAGCGAGTGCCCAGTATCACCTGTTCCTGCACTGCTTGGAACCCACAGCTCCATGTGCCAGCACTCACACAGCACAAAGCCAGCAGATGTGGAGGAGGGAGCCTTCCCGCCTAGAACCCAGCCTTTCTCCCCGAGATAAGCCTCTTTCACCAACAAAGGGAGCCTGCTGCCTGGCTTGCCTCACTGGCTGCCAAAGGCTTGGTTTATTCCCCAGGGATGCTGGTGGGTGGGAGAGCTTCAGGTTCAGAGGGAAGGGCTGGGCCAAGAGCCAGGTGGCTTCTGCCAGCAACTCCCTAATGAACCTCAGGTAAGGTCCCATCAACTTCTAGAAACTCTGTCCTTGGCAACCTCAGAGGTTATCTGGTGCACACAGCCTCAGACAGAAATCTCTTCTGCTGTCTCCCAGCACGAGGGTTTCTGTTGTCTGCTTGAACATTCATTCCCTTTCACAGAACACTAACTACCTCCCAAAGCAGCTTCTTATTCTTGGGCAGCTATTAACTTTATGCACTCTTCCTAATACTGAGGGGAAGACTTGGAACGCCTTCTTCATTTCTTCTTTCCACTTTTACTTTCTCCAGCTCTGAGACCCCTTGGGGATTTGTACACAGAGACTGAGTTTCCCACTCCCCTCTTTTCCCAGCTGGCAGCATCAAGACTTCTAAAGCCCCCCTTGGGTGATCCTTGGCCTGAGTTGCCAACATTTGGGTTGCAGTTCCATGTGTCAAAGTCCATGGTGGAGAGAGGGCCCCAAGAGAGGACACCACACACCAGGGAAAGATGGGGAGGTCAGGAAAAACACTGCCCTGGCATGGAACTTGATAAATGCTCATGGATACAGACTTGGACCTGGACTGAGCTAAAGCCACAACTCCTTGGTCTTCATGTACCCCAGCTCAGATCTGCCACATTCCTGAGGAGAAGGCCTTACCAAAGGCCAAGGGTTATGCACTCAGAGCTCTGAAGGAACCACAATTCCTAATTCAACAAGCAGTTGAATTGAGACCTACCATGTAGGCATTCCTGGCCACTGCAGATTTGAATCTCTCCCTTGTTCTCAGTTCTTAGCCCTCTTTTCCCTCTGAGATCAAGTGTTGCCTTCCAGAGCCTAGGCAGGTGCTTTTGGGTGGGCTACAGTTCCCACCTCATGGCTTGGCTTGAGCCCATGGGTGACCCTCCCCATATTGGCCTGCCCAACTTACTGTTCATTCTCATAGTAGAGTTTTCCAATGGCCCAGACAATGATGATGGGGCAGGGGATGCCTGAAAGAAGGACAGACATAAGCTGGAGTGGACAGACAGATGGACAGAGGACTCTCTTGTAAAACAAAAGGTGGGAAAATGTTTGAGATCTTTCCCAGGAAGGTCATCCTTGACCCTAGAGGATGCTTACAGCCCCATGGCATGCCCTACTGCTAGACCTCTACTCCCCTTCCCCCTACTCCAGGCCATCCTTACTGCTCCAGTGAGTCAGAGCTGAGAGAGAGAGAGATCAATATCAAGAAGAGGAGCTGGAAACTCTTTTGAAGCCACAGACAAAGGTCTTGGGATTGGTCTTTTGGGGCAGGAGAAGGAAGGCAATTTATGGAATATTTATTTAATGAGATTATCTGTGGTTGCTTTGAGTTTGCGTTTTCCTTACTCAGCAGGGAGGGAAGTGGTTGAGTCCTGGAGTGGTCCTGGGGGGTTTGTGGGCTGGGCTATGGTCTGTTCCTGGAACCCAAGATGCAGGAGATGACTGTGCATTAGTAACCCTTCCCTACCAGCCCCCTAGGGACCCTCACACCATCCGATGAAGAGGAAAAGCCACTTGCGCAGGTGCTCGGTGGAGTAGGTCATGACAATGGCTGTGTGCAGGTAGCAGCCCTCAACGAACATCCAGAAGAAGTTGGTCACCACGAAGTAGTTGAAGATGGTGGTGATGCAGCGACACCAGACCTGTGGCCAGGCAGGGTAGTCAGTGGGCTCTGTGGGGATAGGGCAGGACCACTCCCATCTAGGTAGGGGGCAAGGCACAACAACAACCCAATGCACTGCCTCTGAGTCGGATCCAACTCATAGCGACCCCTCCTTGGGTTTCCAAGGCAGTATCACTATAGAAGTAGATTGCCCAACCTTCCTTCCAAGGAATGGCTGGTGGGTTTGAACTGCCAGCCTTCTGGTTAGCAGTCAAATGCCTTAGGCACTATGCTATCAGAGCTCCCAGGGCAAGACAAAGGGCTTCCCCAACATGAGGCACAGACATGGATGGAAAGGATGGTCATTTCAGCCATTCATGGACCCGACATTAAATCCCATTGGATCTCATCCTAAGGAGGGTCTTCCTTGCCTATTCTCCTTCAGCTTTGCTGACTCAATCAAGGAGTCAGTTTCCACTAGCATGGTATGTCTTTAACTTCTCTTCCACGCTGTCTAATTCTCCCTTTTCATAAACAAGAAGAATGTCTCTGGCTGTGAGCTATCTGTAGGCAAAGGCTAGAACTGGATCACATTGCTGTGTTTCACTGAAATCTTTCTGAGGTTAGGTATTCTCATGCAAAGCATGTGACACTGGTCTCCACTTAGGGATGGATAAGAAATTGCATCTAGAAAAAAAGTGAGTCAATTATAAGGAAATGGCTAAGTAAATAGTAATCCAGGACACGCAAAGGTGGGGCTATAGGCATGGGGGTGGCTCTCCAAGGATGCAGGGGTGGGAAATTCTGGAGGTAGTGGATCACCACTGGCTCTGGAGGAAACTCACTGACTCCAGGGCTTCTGGCCAGACACTTTCCCTCTCTGAGCCTCACCTGTACCATGGGAAACAGTAATGCTGCCTAACAGGGCAAATAATGAGGCAAAGGAGGGCAAAGGCAGGCACCAATAAAAGTGAGTTGTTGCTATGGTTGTGGTTATTCTTTGCCTCCCTAGCAGAGGAGAATCTGTCCCTGTCCCTGGGAGTGGGGTCCACAGCCTGTGTTATAGAAAGAAGTCACAGTGAGGGGAGAAACACTTGCCCAGAGTCACACAGTGAGCCAGGGTCCAGCTCTTAGAACTTCAGGTCAGGGCACTTCCCAACAGACCCCATCTGATCACCTTTCTCATAGGTTCGTCCCACAGCTCTGCAGGTGCTGTGGGGTCCAGGGTGTGGGGAGTGCTAGAGTCAGCTCAGTGCCATAGGAGCCTTGTGATGGGTATTCACTGGCCCTGCGGACAGCATCCCCTTCTCTTTCCACTTTGCCAGCCTCTGCTGGAAAATAGTCCTCCTGTACTACCTCCATGAGCTTCCCCCATGGTCTCAGCCCAGCTGTCTATCTGTTCTGAGAAAGTCCTGATGAGGTTGAAAGTCAAAAACACCCTCCGCCTAATCTTGCTTTTTCTCTGAGTTAAGTGGTACCCTAGCAGAATAGCCAATATTGGAGCACACCAAAATTGGATGGTACTTGGTTGGGTATTGGGGCAGGACTCAGCACAGGGCCAAGGTTGGTCAGGGATGGGTGCCTGCTCAGTCTAAGGTCACCCAAGGAACATGTACTGAGAAGTCTTTAAAGGTGTGTCAAAGACCTCTGCCTGGCCCTAGTTTATCTACAGCTGTGCAATGACTTGGACACAGAGCAGCAGCAGTTGACACAGATCCAAGGTAGAAAGGTCACAGGTGCTCAGGATCCTGCCATGCATGGGGAGGCATCATTACAGGTATGTGACCATGATAAGTACCCCTAGCTTCAGTTTCCATGTAGGTATAATGGGGAAAATCATCCCTGTGGGTATCTTATTGTGACTGAGGGACATAAAGCTCAGTGGAGATTAGCTCCAGCCTACTTTATTCTAAAATGGAAGATTCTTTGGAGGGACCTGACCTAACAAGATGAGGAGCGGGACAAAGATAAACCACTATCTGGCATCAGGTTTGGGCTACTCCTGAGATCCTGGCCTGGTAGCCTCTGGCTCTGGTGGGAAAATAACTGGGGTGGAAATGACCTCAGGTCCAGTTCTCCTCCTCAGGATTGGGCAGAGAGGTGGGTGCCCCTCTGACCTTGGAGCCCCGCAAGCCCAGCCCCAGCTCTCCGCTCAGCAACCTCATTGCTCTCATGCACTTCGTGGTCGATGAGCTGCAGCAGGAACCACATGACAGTTCGCAGGATGAATGTGGTGATGAGGTTCCAGTGAATCACATTCCGCAGACAGTGGATACTCCTGTGGGAAGCCCAAGTCAGGGGCTAGACAGGGTCAGGGGCAATCAAGGATCAGGGTTGAGCTTGGACTGAGTTTCCCCTGAGGCCAAGAAAGTGACTTAGCCTGGGGTGAGGGGAGGGCTGTAGTAGGAGCCAACTACCCGCCCATGGCCATGGTTGGGGCTCTGAGTACCCAGCTCCCCTTCTGTATCCACATGCCTCTAGCAGTCAGTGCCCTGGCTCTGTGCACAGCTCCTTTGTCCACTGGTTCCAGGGCCCCACAGTGGAAGTGTGAATGTCTAGGAGAGGCAAAGGGGTTGCTGTGGGAGGAGGGGCTACTCACCGCAGGGCTAGGAAGAGCAGGAAGGCAGCAACAAGGGCAGCTAGGGAAATACAGTGGCCCAGGTAGTTGACAACCAGGGCGATGCGGTACTGCAGGTCATACTTCCTCTGCTGGACAGACAGACACATGGGCTGGTGGAGGCATGGGGCATGTGTAGGGTGGAGCTGCATTCTAACCAATGACTACCACTCTATGTCCTGACCTTGTGGACAGAAGTGACATGAAGTGTCATCATCTTGCCTGGTTCCCAGAGCTTGCTCCTGCTGGCCTTAGGCAGCTCATTTCATAAAGGGCTCTGGTCAGACCCCATAATGTGGAATTTGAGAGACACATTTGGACACGGTCTATTCTGAGATATGCCGGAGCGGTGTGTGTGTAGATTTTATTGTCTTTTAAATTCTGGACTGGGAGATACCACACCTGGGTTTAGTTTCAGTGTGGACCTCAGCTATCTTAGTGACTGAAGATGACTTGATCTCTAGGCCTCAGTTTTGACATCTATACAATGGGGCCAACCATCTCAGACCTGCCTGCCCTCTTGCCTCAGAATCAGTGGTTTGAGGGCACATTGGGCTTGGTGTGGAGGTGGCGTGTGCATTGTCTGTAGATACTTTTACTTCCAGTTGCCATGGAATCAATTCTGACTCATGGCAACCCCATTGGTGTCAGAGTAGAACTGTGCTCCATAGGGCTTCTGATGGCTGATTTTTTGGAAGCAGGTTGCCAGGTGCCTCTGGGTAGACTTGAACCTGCAACCTTTCAATTAGCAGCCAAGCGTGTTAACTGCACCATCCAGGGACTCCAATATATAGATATAGATATAGATGATATAGATATAGATATAGAATATGCAAACATAGATAGATAGATAGATATAAAGCCAGTCTGTTTGTTATTATAACCATGTGCTGACAATTCTAAATAGTAAGTGACAAAATACTCCTTCCTGCCAGGGAGGACTATCTTCCCACCCTACTCCACTGCCCACTTTCATTTGACACTGCTCAGAGTGCTGAAAAAATTAAGAGGTGGGGACAGATGGATAGAAGGAAGCTCTTTCCCTCCAAACCTTTATGACCTGCCTGCCACTCTTGTGCTCTCACCACAGGCCTCTCTTGGCCTCACACTTTGTAGAATCACCTTCTTGGCATAGACAAATGCTTTCATCTCCGAACCTGGGTTTTATTTAGGGTAAAATTTCAGTTAGACTGAGGCATGGGATGGCACTGGAAAGTATTGTTCTGGACTAGGAATGAGGTGCAGCTTCAAAGGAGGAAAGGCTGGCACCTCCAGTCTGCCAAGAATCCAGTTGCCAAGCAAAAGCCCACGTGAGGTCCAAGTACGGCCCAGCTCCTGTGGGGGCTGTCCTCGGGGGATGCCCTGGACTCTACGTGTAGTCACAGAATCAGAATGCCAGATGGGAACATTAAGGTCCCGAAAAGGAAGATGCCACACAGCCTGCTAGATGTTCGGGAGCACTGGTTAAATAGTCACTCTTCGTTTTATGACAGTTGCCACCTTAGATGTGTCTTCCATCAGCCCGAGCTCTCCTGGAGATGGGACTCCACATCCCCTTTGTCTGTCCCCACCAGTGTCACTGATCCAGGGCAGAGCACAGAGGCAGGGCAGGTGATACAAGGACAGGTTCTGCCACCTTTAGGATCCACAATGCTTAACCTGTCTTGGCGGAAGTGCAGTTGGAATGCTCCTTAGAAGCAAGAATGGCCAGACTTCATCTCATATACTTTAGCCATGTTGTCAGAAAGGATTGCTCCCTGGAGAAGGATCTCATGCTTGGTAAAGATGAGGGTCAGTATAAAAGGGGAAGACCCTCAATGAGATGGATCGCAATGATCGGCAACAATTGTGAGGATGGCACAGGACTGAGCAGGGTTTCATTCTGTTGTATACAGAGTCTCTATGAGTCAGACTTGACTTGATGGCACCTAACTACAACATACTTAACCTGAGTTCCTAACACCTGTATGAAGACCAGGGCCAGGCAGGTAGGGGTCACTCACCTTATCATCCAAAATGGGTTCACACTGTGAGTAGTTGATCCGTGAGGCCCATGTTCCATTCTCTAAGCACTCTCGGTAGGCATTTCCTACAAAAGAAGCCAACAACCAAGGGTCAGGCCACTCTCTATCTCAAGAAACTGGATCCCTAGTGTCCACAGGATAAGGTTCATACCCCTCAGCTTTCCTGGGCCAGGAAATACAAAGAGTATTTGAAAACTTTTACATAAATGACACATGAATGTCATTTATGTGAATACTGAACAAAAAGCTCACCAGACATGGTAGCTTACAAGCATGATAAGACCCATTTGTCAAAGACAATCTTTAACTAGCATATTGCACAATTTTTTTAATTTTGTTACTTTGCTTCCAAATTGAACCCAATTGTGAGTACTGGGTTGTGGATGAAGATTAACTGCTTTTGCATATCAAATAACTTCCATCCTTATCCCAATCATTTTATATGTATGAGACCCATACTTCTTTGACCAATAATAGCACTTTCATTTTAATAATAATAATAATAATAATAATAATAATAATAATAATAATAATAATAATATGTGCCATTTACATAGCATGTGTTTACCATGTGGGCCAGGTCCTCTTCTAAACACTTTATATACGTCTGTCCTTTCAATCCTCACAACACCACTTCTGCTGTAGGAGCTCTGGTAGCATAGTGCCTAAGGCATTTGACTGCTAACCAGAAGACTGGCAGTTCAAACCCACTAGCCACTCCCCAGAAGGAAGGTTGGGCGATCTACTTCTGTAGTGATACAACCTCAGAAACCCAAGGAGGGGTAACTACGAGTTGGATATTAATATTAACTCCATTTTAGAGAGGAGGTATCTGAGGTACAAAGAGATTAAGCTACTTGTTGAAGATACAAAGCCTGCAAGAGGTAGATTGAGATTCAAACCCAAAATATCTGGCTTCTGTTTGTAGTGGTTTGTGTGTTGCTATAATGCTGGAAGATATGGTACTAGTATTTCAAATACCAGGAGGGTCACTCATGGTGGACAGAATTTAGTGGAGATTCTAGACTAAGAAAGACTAGGAAGAAAGGCCTGGTGATCTACTTCTGAAAAATTAGCCAGTGAAAACCTTTTAGATTACAGCAGAATATTGTCTGATACAGTGCAGAAAGATGAGCCCTGTAGGGTGGAAGGCGCTCAAAATACATCGTGGCTGCAACAATAGACTCAAGTATGCTGACGATTGTGAAGATGCTGTAGGACTGGGTACCATTTCATTCTGTCATACATGGAGTCGCCATAAGTCAGAGCTGGTTTGGCGACAACTAACAACAATGAGCTACAGAGCAGTGGTAAAGAGGAATGAGAGAAATTTGGGGAAACATGGCTGTGCTGCTGAGCTTGAGTCATGGCAAGACTACCATGTGCTGCCTCTAAGTGCTTGTGAACTGGCCTCTGTATTAAAATTGGAATGTGATGTGTGAAAACACATTTCACAGAATTGATGTCTGATGTACAAAAATGCAGGGTTTATCAAAGGGAAATGTATGAAAGTCAAACACTGCTCATATTTGCCTTTCTCCAAATCCTAGCTGTCTGTCAAGATCCAGTTCCTAAGCCACCTCCTTCTAACCCACGTAGCCCACCTTCAACCTCCAACCAAGATGAGCCCCTCCCACCTGAGATCCTCCACCTTTATCCCCATTTAGCATGTATCTATCTTACCTTCCCCATTCGATGACAAATTCTTAACAATCCATTATATGGGGGTGATTTGTACCAGGGTTCTGCTCTCTAGCTCATGGGCAGTTGTTTGTAGATTTTTCTTTATGGTTTATGTTAGATATACAATATAAAGCTAATTAAAATAAATAGTTCACTGAGTTCCATAAAATAAACAGCAGAGCACAAAGTCACAGAGCTGGAGGGGGAACAGATTGTTTTTGGAAGCAGTGAGTTTTGAAATAATCCAGTTACTTAGAAAACCCACTTTCATTGAGCTGACAGTGAGCTAAAAGCAAAGGAATTATTAAGAAGCACTTGCTGAAGAACAAAAACAAGGGAAAATTCTATTAGCTTAATTGTTTTTTAATTTGGTGCTCCGGAGTGCACAGATTTTTCAAACTCAAGTTGTTAGTGGCTTGTGCCCTGCCTCTTGGCCTATCAGTGCTGAGACGCTGGCTGGGCTCTGGCTGCCTGTGCAAGTCTTCCAGGAGAATGCCCTGGTCTGACACTGGCTTTGACTGCCTCCTGTCTCCTGACCTTGGCCCCTAACTCCCCATCTTGGCTTTCCCTCTACTTAGGGCTGTTTTATTCTGAACAGCTGCATTTAATTTGATAAATAGGATCAACTTTCCTGACTGACATTCATGCTCCTGAAAGGGAAGTGCTACCTTAACATGAGATGGTCACTGGTGTCACTGGACTAAGGCGGTGAAGCTAAACAGACCCTGTAAAGGCATCTTGGTTAGGGAGGGCCATTTTGTAAAATGAACAATCCTTTCCTGATGGAGGTTTAGAAGCTCTTTGAGAAGGTTTGTGTGATGCAAGACAGATCCTGATTCTGGCTGTGATTCAGAGGGCAGAAAAATTTATCTTAGACTATGTTTATAAATGTTATCCAGCTTGGCTAAAGATCAGCTGTAGGGACCCTTCCTCCAGGAAGGCTTCCTTAATTGCTCCCATCCCACTTGTCTCTTTGCTGGGAGCCCCACACTCCAGTCCTTGCTCCTTACCTGGCCTGAGCTGTCCAGGTGGGTGTCTGGTTTCTCTGATCAGTCTGAGGGCTTCCTGAGGACAGGGCCTCGGAATGGAATGAGCCCTTTTAAGCAAATACCTTTGACCTGTTCCCCAACCCAGTGGATAGAGAGGTACTTGTTTCCTGAGTATGGTATCTCATGAAGCACTGAACATGGTGTGGCCTTGTGGATAGGAGGGGGTCAAGATACTCATGCTGTAAACCTGAGACCTTTCCTGTTCTTCATATTGATGTCCAGGGGCCCCAAGTCCCATGGTTTATGTTTCCCCATTTTTTTCCTGGAATTCACCCCCCGCCCCCTGGATCAACAGGCTCCTGCCTTGCCTCCCTGCTTCTTCTCTTGCCTCCTCCACTCTCCCCATCCTCCACCCCAACTGCCACAGCAGTCCTAAAATCCAGAGTTGACCATGCCATTTCCCCTTAAAAGCCACCAGTGGCTCCTCATCATTCTCAGGAATAAAGTGCAAGTTTCTTGGTGTGATATCCAAACTAACTTTTCCCAGGCTCACTTTCCTAACCATTTCCACCACTCTATGCAGCAGCTCCTCTACTGACATTTGCCTGGCACATCCTCAACTCCCTGCCTTTCTTCGTGCTGACTGAAACACTCTCCTCACTCTCACCCATGGCTCACTGACAAACTCCTATTTTTTTTTTTTTGAACAGTTCAATATGGTTTGGATGAAAGTTTACAGAGCAAATTAGTTTTCCCTTCAAGAATTTATACACATTTTGCTTCATGACATTAGTTACAATCTCCTCAATGTAACTGCACTCTTTTCCCTTCCTCCCTGGGTTCCTTGATTCCATTCACCCATCATTCCTGTCCCTTTCTGCCTTCTGAACTTTATTTTTGGGCAAATGGTGCCTTTTTGGTCACATATGGTTGATTGTTCTGAGAAGCATGTTCCTCACAGGTGCTACCATTCACGTTATAGGCCTGTCTATTGTTTGGCTGAAAGGTGATCTCCAGGAGTGGGTTCAGTTCTATTTTTGAAGGGTGTCTAAGGGCCATAGTCTTGGAGGTTCCTCCAGCCTCTATTATACCACTTAGTCTGGTCTTTTTTTTTTTTTTTTTTCAATGATTTTGAAGTTTCTTCTACATTTTCTTCCCATTCTGTCCAGGACCTTCTATTGTGATGCTGATCAGACTGGTCAGTAGTCATAGCTGGGCACCATCTAGTTCTTCTGGTCACAGGCTAGTGGATCCTACCTATCTTTTACACTCCAGCTCAAAGGCTTCTTCCTCCATGGAGTCTTCTCAATACCATAGGTAGAAAGCAGTCTTTTCTTTTCTTCTTCCTTTTTTTTTTTTTTTTTGCTAAGCACCTCCTCTTCATCTTTCCATCTTTTGGAACCCTTCAACACATATTTTATATCTAAATCTAGTACCTACACATACACAGACAGCACACATAACTGAATCCAGTTTCACAAGGCAAAATTTATCTTAATCACAGCTATAATATTTTCATTTCATTTCTATTCTAATGCTACTCTATTCATTTTGTATAAAAATGCTGGTCATGACCCACTAAATTGATTTTACAACCTACTATTGTACCACAGTCCAGTTTGAGAAACAAAAATACATGTTAGAGAATTGTCCATAATTCACTATGAACTTCAGTTCTTTGGACCTAATCTGGCTTTTCTTCCTAGGAACAGACAAGTGGGCAGAGATCATACTGAATTTCTGCTCCAAGTGAGCAGGAACACAGAACTATCAAGTATAAACTGGCTGAAGCTAATTGACTGAGATCTGCTGAAACCTTGGCAATCAGGGACATGGTGGTGGGAGGGGGCTTCCCTAGGGGCCCAGCCCTGTCTAGGGATAAGGTTCTGACTATACTAAATTCAATGGGAATGGAAGACAGATGTTCCCAGCTCCTGGTGTGGGGAGAGAGCTGGCCACTAGAGCTAATGAGGGTGCTGAGCCCTCAGGCACAACCTAGAGAGAAGAGAGTAAGGCAGGAAAAGGCCTCTCTGGGAACCATGGGAAGATGGGCACAGAAAGTCTAGGGGAAGAGGGCTGTGCCAGAATCATGAACTAGAGACAGGGAGGTGGGTGCCTGTTACTATGGTAATACAGGTGCCCCTACAGAGGATCGATGCTGCTGATGTGCAGTACAGCTTGCCAGTGGCATTAGGGTCTGGATGATACAGGCAGGGTCCTCTCTTCCAGGGTTCTGTGGTGTGGGAAGCTTGTTGCCTATCCAAGTAGTGAGCCTGGACTCTTCCCCCAAGTAGCTCTGATCTGTGGAAAATCCTCATATAACAGGTTTCCCTCTTCTAGACACTCTGATAAGAGTTTCTGGTTCAGGCAGTCACCTGGGGTTGTCCAGAGGC